AGTAAGAGGAAGGGAGTTCCACTGTCGGGAAGTGCGAGAGAAGAAGCTGTTGGAGAAGAAGAGGCTGTTACATTGAACTGTTTAGACAGTAAAAGGGTGAGACCTATGTGCCAACGTAGTAGCTCGCTTAAATCCATGCAGTCGGAGCACCAGTGAAAATAGCTGGTTAGAGCAGATGCCATGAAAAAAATTTTATAGAAAAAATAGACAAAGGGATGCCACATTAAGTCGGCGAGAAAGTGACTGGAGTCGAGACTCCAAGTCAGGACCGATCACATTGCATATCCGTTTTTGGGTTTTGTCGAGAACCTCGTGATGAACAGTGGGAGCACCAGATCATATATGGCAACAGTATTCAGTGCAAGGACGAATGGTAGATTTGTGGATGGGATGTATGGACTCAGACGTGAAAAACCTTCTGGCGGGCCACAGAGAACCAACTTTCCTTGCAGTAGATGCAGCTATTGATTCAATGTAGTTGTTCCACCTCAATTCAGTCAAAAACGTGAGACCAAGAAGGCGCAATGAGGCGCTCTCTTGGAGTTGACCATCAACCATGCTGATAGGAGGCAGGTAAGTTTCTCTATGGTGAGTAAATGACAGCAGTTTCATTTTGGATGCATTAAAATTCACAAGCCATTTCCTGCCCTAGTCAACAGCAGTTTTCGAAACCAACGGCCAGGTCGATTTTGTCAGCAATGCCGGATTTACTACTGAGACAGGAGTAATTGATAATGTCGTCTGCGTAGATTCCTACTTGAGAAATGTTGACATCAGGAAGATCATTGATGAAGATTAGAAACAGTGTAGGACCAAGAACAGAGCCTCGAGGAACACCAGCGTTTGTATAAGAAGGAACTGAAAGATAACCCATTCAGGAAGAACTTCATTTCACAGACAGGAATGATTGAATTAAATCAAATAATCGTCCTGTAATACCGTATCCCTGAAGCTTTCGTAGAAGGCCAGCATGTCAAACTGTCAAATACCTTCGATATATCTAGACCAACAGCTCGAGCTTGGCTGTTATTATCAAGAGCTTGGTATACATATTCAGTTATGGCCGTAAGCACATCAGCGGTAGACCGGACAAAGTGGAAACCCTATTGTTTGTCAGAGAGCAAATAGTGGGAGGTGAGATACTTAACTACTTCGGCATTGATTAAACCCTCGAAGACATTGTCGATAAATGGTAGGAGACTGAAGGGACAGTAGTTAGATGTGTCAGAAGGGTCTCCAGAGTTCCTAGAGACCGGGACGACAGAGGAGGGCTTCCAACAGGCTGGAAAGCAAAAACCGGTGAGGCAATAGCTGTATAGTTTGGAGAGAACTGGAGCCAGCTGAGGGGGCACATTTTTTCTGGGCTACGGCTGGTATCCCGTTACCATGACTTGCTTTATGAGAGTCTAATTTAGAGATAATGTCTAATACCATCAACGGGGTTAAGCACATCTCACTCAGTATAGCCTCAGTTCTAGTTGGGATACTCCGGACGAGTCGAGTGTTGAGTTGGATAAGAATTTCCGAGCAAAAAATTCAGCCTTATCAGCTTGGGATGTTAGGACTTCGAATTGATTGAATAGAGGCGGATTTACTGTAGTTTGTCACACTCTTGCAGAGCCGTCGATAATCTTCAGAACCAAATTTACGAGATGCAATACGTTGTTTCCGCAAACAGTAACTTTGATTCGTTGAGGACACTGCAATCAGTCATGTCGCTCCGGTATAGACGGAAAAAGTGATTCCTGTGGGCTATAGCGGCAGAAAAAGCAGGTGAGAACTAAGGAGACGAGCGCGATTTTACTGAAATGGAAGCCTCAATGTCGGTTTTTTACCCAGAAGGAGACCTCAGATGCACGTTTTTGTAGGGTATGATTAAAAACCGCATTCCAAGGGACGTCGCCAAGGAAGACACGGAACGAATCCCAGTCTGCAGATATTCTATTAGTGGGAGGTTCATGGCTAGAGGGGGAGTGGAAGGAGATGTTAACAGACAACACCGCGTGATCAGAGTTACCAAGAGAGTAGAGCTGTGTAGTGCGACAAGAATCAAGGGTGGAAGTAAAATAGAGATCGAGAAGGGGAAGCGTTACCGTCTGGGTTACTGGGGAAAACTTTGGCTTTTTACCTTTAGCGTACAATGTACGTAAAAGTTATAAGAATTTAGAAATAATAAAATCTTTTTATCTTTATCTGACACCTTAATTCGGCATAATCTTTCTTCGTATACGCAACTACTCTCCGTAGCTTGTTTACATTTATTTTGTGTGCATTTTTTCTTTTCTTTTAAATTCACTATTCTTTATAATTCTTTCACATAAAGTCACTATTAAAAGACATTAGGAAACCCAAAGTATGTAATATTTCGAATACGTCACAGTACGTGTGCTCGAAAAAGGAATAAACTAAACATGAGCAACGTACCGTGCCCCGCTAAAGTTTTAATTACTGTTTAATTACACGATGTCAATTGCAATTACGATGAAAACGGAATTAAAGTTAAACCCTTTAATAAAGAATTTTTAAAAAAATCTTTCACTCTGTTCGATATTTAAATTTAACTTTAAATGAGTTATTTATTTAATTTTTAATCACGTACAGTAGTTCTATCTGTAAAACCCGTCGATGATAGTTTGCCGAATTCCGAGCGAACGCTGAAGAAAGCTTAAAGCGAGCTGCCTGCCGCGCGGGCGAGGCGTCAGGCCTGCGTGCGAGCCGGCTGCTACGCGCGGTGGTCCCAGTTACGCGAGAAGCGGTATCTGTCGAAGCCGACAGGCTGCCGGTCTCCGCCGTCTCCGGACGTGCGTTGTGCACCCTTAGTTTAGATTGTTTATGATTCGCCGACATCGAAAAACTTACGTACGGACAGACACACGTACACTGCGCTTTATTTATATAGAAGATATGAAGTTGGTCCACTTTTGACATCAATAGCTTTAATATGTCGATGAATTGCCTCGTACATGTTATGAGTGGTTGCTGTGGAAATTTTGAGCCATTCTTCAAATAAAACCCTCTTGCTACTCCCAAATGCGCCATAAACATTCAATTATATTGAGATCCAGGGATAGGGGCAGACAATCCAATTGGTCTGTTTCACTCTTCGTACCAATTTAGAATAAAACTGTTGGTCGCGTGAATCGACTGGATGATTGCGCTACCATCGGGAGACAATGTTTTAAAAATTGGATGGACTTTCGGATCAGCCAAAATACACAGATAATTCTTGTTGTTAATTCTGACATATGGAACAACTAAATGGCCAAAAGAATGCCATTAATATGGCCGTCCAGTTCACCATAGAGCTAGCTCCATGCTTCAAATTAGATGCCCCAAAACTGTCAGGGTTGAAAGCGTCTTTGAGTTGTCTTCAGACATAAACTCGCCCTGAAGTGGCAAGAAGGTGATTCATTAGAGATGACAATTTTTCATTGAGTCCTTGACACCTAATTATCCGGACACCATTTTCCAGCTTATCAGTGTTCATAGGGGACAGGAAAACTTTATCATTTGTAACCGTCCTATAGTATGCAGCTTTGTGGAGCACGCGACACACGGTTTTAGTTGACACAGGTTTGGAAAAATGCTAGTTTAGTTCTGTCACTTTTGTTTCTGTAGTTCGATGATTTTCCGACAGTACATTTATCTCTACTGTGGCCCCTATGTTAGTTTTGCTTTCTGTTGAGAATACTAATTCTATTACATCTACAATCGAAAAGAATCTATCTAAACTCAATATAAAAGACTTAGTCAATACTAAAAAATAAGCTCAAACCTGAAGGATGAGTTTACACCATCGACTTAATAATGGTCACAAAAATACATAGTTGTAACTTCAAGGAATCTCAATAAAAGATTATCTGAACAAAAAAGGAATAGTTTACAAAATAATACGTCAAATGTGTTGGTTGCCCACCGAAACGAGTGGCCGCAATTTTGACATAAAAAATGCTACTCTGATCAAAGGAGAGAAATAATTCACTACGACGTAACTGTCAAAGTAAAATTACGACCAGGCTCTTACAATATTTCACCATTCCTGGCAGATCTTCTAATATCACAGTGTGGAGTACCTAATTAAAAAAGTGATGGAAAGAAAAAGAAAAGGACTCTAAAGGAATTCGGGTGGAAAGAAAATCTAAAATTCTCAGCACCCCTCTGTCGTGCGCATGTGCAGTACTATCTTTAGTCCGATGAAACGCGTCACAAGTAAAATTTTTCCATTTTTCACACACACACACACACGCACGCACACACACACACACACACACACACACATATATATATATATATATATATATATATACTCACCCATATTGATTTATACCAAACAGACCTCTGCTAAAGTTTTGTGCGATGCATTGTTCTCTTCTATTTCAAAAGAAACTTACACAAACACGCATACTTACTCTAATGCATGTCTTTATATATATATATATATATATATATATATATATATATATATATATATATATATATATATATATTGTTTCCACCTAAATAATTCTACGAAGCTGCATTGTTCCAGAGATTTAACTTCCTTTCTTGGAAAGTATTTTTGGAAATGAATCCAGTTGGGAATGGTTCTCTTGATCGACTTGTCTCTCGTAAAGTTACTTTAGCAACTGTCTGTTCAACTAATTTTGAGAAAAAAAGACAATTCTTAAAATGAAAACTCTGAATATAGCACCTTAACCATGATTATCTTCCGAAGAATTCACAAAAAGAGAAAAATAATATCGAAAATGTATTTCCGGTCATTACTAGGATTTGTGCTCTGGCAGTTCGTTTTCCGGACTGTATTTCGCTGTGTCATTGAAACGATGAGGACACCCATTGATAGATGCAATTAGAAAAAAATTACGGGCAGTTTGGGCAGGTTTGTAAAGATGACATTGCAATGATCACAAAAAATATCCTCTCTTGAAAGAAGGAAGCTGGAAGATTTAAAAAATAGCTGTCATATCCGTCAAAATAAAATGATTAGGATATTTTTAAGCTTACGGCCACATCACGTTGAAACACCGATTCCCGTACGATCACCAAACTTAAGCAACGTTCTGCCTGGTCAGTAGATGGGTGACCGCTTGGGAATGCGATGTGCTGCAAGCTTGAGTAAGAGGAAGGTATATCTTACGGCTGCATCACGTTGAAACACCGATTCCCGTACGATCACCGAACTTAAGCAACGTCGTGCCTGGTCAGTACCTAGATGGGTGACCGCTTGGGAATGCGATGTGCTGCAAGCTTTGATGAGAGGAAGGTATATCTTACGGCCACATCACGTTGAAACACCGATTCCCGTACGATTACCGAACTTAAGCAACGTCGTGCCTGGTCAGTACCTAGATGGGTGACCGCTTGGGAATGTCAGTTTCTATAAGTTTGGATGTGCGGGTGGTGTAACGGATAATTACTTGAGATTGTTAAGCGGAGGGCCGAGTTCCAAATCCAGCAGGGTTCGTTATATTCACTTACGCGCAGATGCCCGTGGGAAAGGTATAAATCCACTTCTTCTCTCCCCAGCTATGGGTTAATTAGTAAGACTAGTATCATTAAATCATTATTATATCCCAAAAATTTTTCTGGCTTTAAATAAGCTGCAAAATTGTTGATAAGCCGTAGAAAACGAATAACTCAATATTTTTTAACTAGTTATAATCATTATCAACATATTTTGTTTCTTTAAAATTCCTTTAATTTCTTAACTGAAAGCCATGCCTTAAAGTATGAAAAACTGTTCCCTTTTACCAGACAATCCGTTTCTAGAATTGTTTGGTTAAGAGTCGCCATGTTATCTGTTCCTGAAGCTTCAGAACTTTTTTCAAATTCATAAAAGTACAGGAATTGTGATATTCATAGATGAACGTTTCCTTGTGACCATCCTTATCTGCAAACAGGACCTGTTCCTTACAAAGTTCTTCATTTATGTGCTATGTCGCTTCAGGACAGGGGCAATCATAGCTCTCCACACTTTCCTTCTTTTGTTGCTCAAAGTAATCTCTGCCTCTTTATCTCCTCTCTGTCCTCTTCTCTTCTTTTGCTCGCGTTCATTTGCTCAAACTCTTCAATTGTTTTCTCTTTAAAGCTCTTACCGTCAGAATTCACTTTGTGTGTCAAATTTTCCATTCCTTCTTTCCTACTTATATATTCCCAAAATTTTCATTGATATCTTTCTGATGGTTAACAGCAATTTTTTTTGTAGTTCCTATCATACTTAAAACTTCTTCGTTTTTCACATGGTCTGTCTATGGTATTCCTAGCATTCGTTGCTGGAACTACATCTAAGTCGCTTCAAGTTTCTTCTTCAACTTTGTAGAAATTGTGCAACATTCACTGCCATATGAAGATTAGATATTAAGTATCAGTTCACACTTTTTTTGAATTTAGGGACATTTTCCAATCCCTTAATACTTTACTTAGTTTCTGGAAGGTGTCTTTCGCTATTACTACGTGCCTTCGGATTTCTGTGTCACACTTTTCAGTGTCAGTTAAAATATTATCCAGAAAATTAAATAACAATAGGTTGATTTTGATTTACCCACGATATGTATCTGATACCTTTGCGCTGTCTGTCTGTCTTGCTAAAATCCACGCATTCTTTTAATAAAATTAATAATTGGTTATTTCGTTCTACTTTGATTGATTACCTTTCAGTTTCTTTTCAATTGTCTTCTCCATCACTTGGAATTAAGTGTCATTGTCCTTCTAAATTGATTTCTAATGGAACTGGTACAGAACTGAATTCATACCTTTTCCGATGGCATTAGTGCAACATGAGCACAAAAATTTTCTAGCAGTGTTTGATCCTCTCGGAGTACCTTTTATCTGTAACCTTCTCCGTTTGTTTGTTTAGCGGCATATCAACACCCTATGGGTCATCTAATGCCGGAATTGAATTTTCTTAGGAGCATTAATAATTTCTTTTACAAAAATGTATTGCTGCTAAATTTTTCTTTTACGAAAATGGTATTGCTGCTATTTTTTAAAAACAAAAATGTATTGTATTGCTGGTAATTTTTTTCACTATGGAAATGTATACTGTTTACATTATTCGAACTATTGTCCTCATCTTTGTCGCCATATTTATTACAACGTTTCGGCCGCTGTACGCTCCGGCCTTCTTCAAGTGGTTGGAATGTCGAACTGAACTCTTTATTTCACTCACTGCGGTAGACTGTTCTAGTTCCACGTGCCATGTCTAATGGATGTCAGTTATCTCCTGTTAATTTCCCTCTGAAAGTTCTCCACTACCTTAACAGATGTTAGTTAGATCCAGTGACAGGACCCAAACAGTGTGAGTTCAATACCTGGTTAAGGCAGTGGAGAACTTTCAGAGGGAAATTAACAGGAGATAACTGATAACTAACATAGTCTGAATAATGTAAAGAGTGTACATAATACCTCATCTCAGAAATATAGACAGATGGAAATGTATTGCTAGTATTTTTACTATAATTTATTTTTTTACATTTTCATAGTTCTATGATTCTAGTTGGGACCCTCACAGGTGCTACCACCTCGGGTCAGGGTTGACCTGGGAACAACAGCAATTAAGAGGTGGTTCTAGGTCCCTCAAACCTTTCCAATCAGAGATTTTACTGCCGAATGCAGTTTATCGCCATACCTAGGACGGCCCGTAACCTTGTGTTTGACTATAATAATATAAATGTCTTCTCACCTCATCTTGCTACAATGTCTAGCCAACGAGACGTCAAGAGTGATTTCGGTACTTATAGGGCTCCCAATTTTCTTATGGACTTGTAGCAGACTAAGCTTAGTAAATACCTAACCTGGTCTCACATCTAAACGAAAAGTAAATCAATTCAGACGTTTCAAATAGATTTTATTGCATTGGGAATAAACTTGGCTGATTGCAACTTTTAAAGACGGTAAATCACATCTGCCAATTCCGTTCATACAATGTACAACTACGTTAATCCGCCCTTCGATTACCGTTAAGGGAATTTTTATTTCATTCTTATGTCATTCTCGTCGTCCATACTATCATTGATTTATTATCGATTACACTGTCTACTTATTACACGTGATTAGACAAGGACGCAGGATGATCAGGAGTTCGTTTTCTTCTTTTTCTTGAAGGTGTTATGTCCATTCAAAGTGTAGGTGATCATGACTCTCCACAACATCTTATCCTTTGTAGTTCTAAGCAATGTTTGTCCCCTTACTAAGCCCCTTCCAGTCGCTGTTCTACAATCTATTTGCACAAGCTCGATAGGTAAATCATTTCCCCTGTGGTCTCTCTCGACTTCTGTATATCCTGTGAGTGCCAAACTCTCCAAGCACTCTTTCCTCGTTATGGGTTCTAAAGATGTTCAATTCTTTTTTTTTGATTATAAGTACAAGCGTCCATTTTCTTATACAAGCGTCTTATTTTCTTATATATATATATTTCCTATAGTTTTTCTTATAACTTTGTAGTTACTACCTAGTTCCGTCCATAGTATTCTCAGCATCCTTCTGTAGAACTACATATCTCTTCCCTAGATTTTCCTCTACATCTGTGTGGAAATTGACCAGCATTCACTTGTTGATGGGAGGATTAATATTATATAAAAAATTCAGCAATTTTTCTTTGTTTCTAACGGAATTTTCCTATCTCTTCTTACTTTGTTTAGCATTTGGAAGGCATATTTCACTCTTCCAATGCACCTACGGGTTTCTATGTCCCATTTTCCGTCGTCTGTTAAAACACTTCCCAGATCGTTCAATTTCTGTACCCAATTAGTTCTGATGAACACCCTTGTGCAAATTAATTGAAACAACTGCTTTAGTTTCCTTTCTTTCACCATACGGTCAGTTTTAGACTCACTGGAGTGAAAGGGTGTAATCGATTTCTATTTTTTCTTCAGATTAGGTCATTTGCAGTGATGTGCAGTGATATGAATCTCTTTTCGGGGAGTATGATGAAATTTGTTTGGCCTTGAAAAATATTGCGTTATCAGTGATTGCATCATAGTTTTATCACACGCAGACACTATTGTCTCCACTGTCGATTAGTTGCCCTACGGCCATTGTCTGCGATGGACGTTACTCCAAAGAAGCGTACTAACATCTACGCTGGATCATGTTTCATTGGAAAATCACGAAAAATGTAAATAATAACTGAATTATTCGTTTTGTTTCACTTAATTTGCACAGTGGTGTATATAGCTCACACTCTGTTTTTTCTCCCTTGCTATCAATCATAATTTTTTCTTCTTACATTTAATGGTCAGCATTTTCTTCCTCTTTCCTTTACTACCTTGTGTAGGAGTTCCTGCAGTTTTTGTGTACTTGTTATCAATACGGGGTATCATTTGAATATCTTATGTTATTAAGATTGTACCCAGCAATAATAAATCCTGTTAGGATTTCTCTTATGATGTACTGGCAGTAAAGGTTAAGTAAGTCTGGTGAGACGAAGCATCCTTGTCTTACGCCTGGTTCTTCTTTAGCAAATTTGCTCAATTCAATTTCTATACGTATGCAGGCGGTCTGCTCCCAGTAAATGCCCCGTATTATTGTAATTCCTTTCCTAAATGAATCAAGTTTTCTTAGTGGTTCAGATATAACTTTGTGTCGTACTTTATCAAATGCCCATGCGTGGTTTATGAAGCTTAGGTATATATAGTTACAAATAACCAGAGTAATATGTAGCGGGATTGCAACCACATATTTACATTATTTGAAATGGCATCGCCCAGATTAAGAACGTCTTCTTTATAAGATTTAACAGATTTGTTATAAGTATCGTTTTGTTGCGCTTTAGAATATTGGTTTGCTTACCAAGTGTCTTTTTAGATCAGGAGTCTCTAAATTGCCTTGTACCTGACGAAAGTAATCTTAGTTAATAATGCATATGTCTCTGCAGAAAGCAATGTTTAACAAGCTAGTCTGGTATAGCATTATTAGAGTAATGAGATCGATTCACAAGAAATCCCTAGGTTAGTGTAATGGAATAACCTGTCACGCCCATAAGTGACTACACTATAGGTAGTAATTTCCTATAAGTATCTGTAAGTCAATGGACTACAGAGCCTAGCTGGGATCTGTTACTCAGCTCTCAGCTGCTGTCGGGCAGAGAGGAACCTGGACGAGGCTATTCGA